GAGGTAGGAGGCTACACCCTTGACAAGGTGTTGCCTGCCCCCCTCCGGCCCACGTACACACACACATGCACGCACACACATACTCATTCTGTGAGCACTGAGGCTGTAAAGAGCAGACCTTCACCCTCACTCCCTGTTGGACTCCATGCACACTCTTCCAGGGATTCGTGTCAGCGTCTAAGAGATGCCTTTCCTGCTCTCTTGCTCTTCCTTCTTCCTTTCCTGGCCTGTCCACTTCCTCTCTCTGTCCTGCCCTTCTACCCTCCTTCTGGAAACCCCGTGCACCTCAGGGGAAGGCACCGAATTCACAGGGGGAACTCTTGGGATGCTGGCTGTTAAGACCCTGCAGGCGGAGGAGCCGTCAGCTGAGGAACCAGTGAGCCACAGTCGCCTTGCCAGCAGTCCCAGGAGGTGAGCCAACGCTGTGCCTGTGCCTGTTGGGCTCTGCCGTTGTGCAATCCAAGGTAAGGCCATGGCTGGCATGTGCGGCCACGTGGGACAGGAAGACGTCAGCTCCTTCCTTTGAGGGGGCTGTGAGTCCAGCCCGAATCCTGGCCCCGGTTTCTCTGTCACCCTTAGTAGGTGGCATTTCCCTGGCTGGGCAGTGAGTGGGCTGTGGGACTGCCCAGCACCCTCACAGCCTCCCAGAAGTCTCTGGGCCAGGGTGGGCGCTGACTTTTGTATGGGTGTGGCCTCCAATTGCTTGACATTGAGGCAGAAGCTTAAAAAAACAGCTTTGGGTGGCTGCTTCAGTCACGTTTTCTCCTTCCCTCCGCTCCCCTTCCTGGATGCTTACCCATTGGGACCCTCTAGGTAAAGGGGCAGCAGCAGGGGGTTTAAGGACTGTCCTACCCTCCCCACCCTGGGCCGAGTGAGCTTGCAGGTGTCTGTGGTTCCCTGTTGACTCTCCACAGAGGGTCCCAAGTTACTATTGTGTCACTTAATGGTTTTTTGACTTCATGATGGTGTGGACTTGCGCCTGTACAACCATTATGTTTTCTGCTTTCAGGACAGTGTGACGGTAGTTACATGAGATATGCAGCACTGGGTTCCAAGACAGATCTGTGGGGCCGGCGCTGTGGTGTAGTGGGTAAAACCACCACCTGTAGAGCCGGCATCCCATATGGGCACCAGTTCGAGTCCCAGCTGCTCCACTTCTGATCCAGCTCTCTGCTATGGCCTGGGAAAGCAGTGGAAGATGGCCCAAGTCCTTGGGCCCCTACACCCACGTGGGAGACCCAGAAGAAGCTCCTGGCTTCGGATCCATGAAGCTCCAGCCATCGCGGCCATCTGGGGAGTGAACCAGCAGACAGAAGACCCCTCTCTCTCTCTTTCTGTCTCTCTCTGCCTCTGCCTTTCAATTAAATAAAATCTAACAACAACCAAAGACACGTTTGTGATGCACGATTTTGCCCACTCTAGGCGAATGTGCTTTGAGCACAGTTCAGGTAGGCTGGGCTAAGCCATACTGTTCAGGTTAGGTGTTTTGGGTGTATTTTCAACTGATGGTATTTGCAACCTGCAACGTGTTTATGGAGACTAAACCCCACAGTCCGCCGAGGAGCGTCTGCCTATGGTCTTGTTCCTGCGCAGCCCTCAAGCCCCAAGAATGGTATCCGGGAACATTCAGCACGCTTTGGCCTGGCCTGGCGTTGGCTCCTGGATGCCAGCCAGTAACCACACCGTGCGAGGGCTGTAATTATCTTCATTCACCACTGAGACAGCTGAGGCTTGGAAGGCAGGGTGCTGGGGAGAGCTCCAGCGTGTCTGGCCTTAATGGTTAACTAACAAGTAAACGGTGAAGCTGGGCGGGCCACGTGTGCTTACTGCAAACCACTTTCATTCCCCTTCACCTGGGTATAGAACACAATCGCACACATGCTTTTCCTAAAATCTTGGAATATTTAAGTAAAAAAAGATCATGTATCTCTCTGTGTTCTTTGTCGATGCTTGATTGAGTGGAAGTAGATATCTATGTTCTCTGTCCATGAATAATCAACTTAAAACCTTCGTTAATTGAGCTCTTACTAAAATGACTTATTACTTCTATATGAAAAGATGATGGGCTAGAAAAAGTATCGAAAGAGAACCAGCCGGCGCCACAGCTCACTAGGCTAATCCCCCGGCTTGCGGCGCCGGCACACCGGGTTCTAGTCCTGGTCAGGGCGCCGGATTCTGTCCCGGTTGTCCCTCTTCCAGTCCAGCTCTACTGCTGTGGCCCGGGAGTGCAGTGGAGGATGGCCCAAGTCCTTGGGCCCTGCACCCGCATGGGAAACCAGGAGAAGCACCTGGCTCCTGCCATCAGATCAGCGTGATGCGCCGGCCGCGGCGGCCATTAGAGGGTGAACCAATGGCAAAGGAAGACCTTTCTCTCTGTCTCTCTCACTGTCCACTCTGCCTGTCAAAAAAAAAAAAAAAAAAAAAACAATATCTGTGTGGATATATTTTCTTAGTCTTCCATGTAGACTGCTAACAAAACACCAGAACATTTTTTCAAAGGATTAAATCTTTAACTGGTACCAAAAAAACTTACAGCCAAATGTGTGTTTTATTTGAAGGCAGAGTGACAGGGAGGGAGAGACAGAGATACAAAGAGATCTTCCATCCTCTGGTTTACTCCCCAAATGGCAGCAACAACTGGACTCAGCCTGGCTGAAGCCAGGAGCCTAGAACTCCACCCATATCTCCTACATGGGTGGCAGGAGCCCAAGTTCTTGGGCCATCTTCTGCTGCTCTCCCAGACACGTTCGCAGGGGGCTGGGTTGGAAGAGGAGAGGTCAGAACTTAAACTGGCGCTCAGATAAGGGATGAACCTCACCTGCTGCCTCACAGCACCGGCTTCTACTCAGTTGTTTCCAGCAACATCGCTCATAGCACCTGGTGTCTGTTGGCTCATGAATAGGTTAACAAAGTGGAGTCTTCCGTGTCATGGAATATTATTCAGGCCCCATAAGAAATGAAGGACTGATGTATGCTGCAGATGAACCTGGAACGCACTAAGTGAAAGAAGCCAGCCACAAAATGCCCCAGATGACATGATTTTATTCATACAAAAGTCCAGGGCAAGGAAATCTATAGACAGAAAACAGATTGGGGGTTATTTGGGCCGATGGGGAGTGGAGGATGGCTGTGTTGATAACCAGAAGGTTTCTTTCTTTTTTTAAAAAAAGACTTATTTATTGATTTACTTGAAAGGCAGAATTGCAGAGAGGAGAGGCAGAGAGAGAGAGGTCTATCCATCCGCTGGTTCACTCCCCAGATGGCCTCAATGGTCAGAGCTGCATGGATCCGAAGCCAGGAGCTTCTTCTGGGTCTCCCACATGAGTGTAGGGACCCAAGGACTTGGGCCATCTTCTACTGCTTTCCCAGGCCATAGCAGAGACTGGATCGGAAGTGGAACAGCAGGGATTTGAACCGGTGCCCATATGGGATGCCGGCACTGCAGGCGGCTGCTTTACCCACTCGCTACAGCGCAGGTCCCTTACACAGCCTTCTACTCTGCTGAGTCGTGGTTTTGTTGATGGGTCTGTGGGTCTCTGCTTCTGGGGTAGCAACAATTTGCCTGTGACCTCGCTTCTCCTACTGATCTCAGAAGAGCTGTGATTTTCTTTTCTTTTCTTTTCTTTTTTAAAGATGTATTTATTTATTTGAACGGCAGAGTTACAGAGAGAAAAGGAGAGACAGAGATCTACCATCTGCTGGTTCACTCTTAAACGGCTGCAACAGCTAGGGCTGGGCCAGGCCAAAGTCAGGAGCTAGAAGCTTTTATTTTCTTGTAAGGTGCAAAGGTCTCCTCCCTCTATTACAAAATCTCCAGTGCTCGGCATCAGGCAGTCTGCACCCATCTGTCTTGGAGTTGCCACCACTTACCCTCAGGTGGCTTTGGGCGAGTAAACGGGCGTCTCTGGGTCTCCATGTTCTCAGCTGCTGAGACAATGGATCACTGACCCAAGAATCCTGGAACAGAATTCAGCTTAGTGTTGGTGAAGGGCAGCTCCCAGACTTTCTAGAAAATGGCTGATTTTCATGGTTTTCATCTGCGCCTTTCGAAACAGTGAGGAAGCCCATGCTGTGGTGTAGCAGGTAAATCCTCCACCTGCGGCGCCAACATCCCATATGGGCACCAGTTCGAGTCCCGGCTACTCTGCTTCTGATCCAGCTCTCTGCTATGGCCTGGGAAAGCTGTGGAGGATGGCCCAAGTCCTTGGGCCCCTGCACCCGTGTGGGAGACCTGGAAGAAGCTCCTGGCTCCTGGCTTCAGATCAGCCCAGCTCCAACCTATCTGAAGCAGATGGAAGGTTTCTCTCTGTCTCTTCCTCTCTCTCTGTAACTCTGCCTTTCAAATAAATAAAGACTGCTTCAAACAAGGAAAGAAACAGCAGTTCAGAAATGCCGTGCTGAACGAAAGAGGCAGAACTGGGACACAGGCAGTTTGTGGTGGTCGGGGGAGCCTGGCAGAGAAGCCAGCATCCTAATGGATGTCCTCTTCCCGTTTTAGGAAGTAAGGCTGTTTTTAAAATTATTTTTTGTTTGATTGGAAAGACACACACACACACACACACACACAGAGATGGAGTGATCTCCCATTTGTTGGTTCATCCCCGGATGCCCTGTCCTGTGTGAGGGGCAGGGATTCCACTACCTGGACCATCACCTGCTGCTCCTGTGGTTTGTGTTAGCTGCTGAGACTCCAGCCCCGGCACTTTGATGTGGGATGTCCCACGTGGCATCTTAACTGCCGAGCCAAGCACCTGCCCACCATCATTTCTGCATCCAGCCTGTAAATGGACAGAGGTGGAAACAGATTCTGAAAGACAAAAATGGAGCTCCAGGAAAGTTTGGGGAGGTGGCCAGCTGACTTGCGCAGCTGTTTCTGCGCCTGAGCGGACTCTGGGAAGCAGCGTGGAAGGGGAAGACCGAGGGAAAGGACGCGTGTGCGACTCTTTGTCATCCGGGTGCAGACTCAGTTCTGGCTGACGCTGCATCCGCTCTGACCTCACAAGGTGTCCCAACCGCACCGCACCGCCCTGGGGAGAAGGGGGCTGGCTCCTGGGGGAGGGAATGACAGACTCAGTGTCTGGAATGCAAGCGATGCGCCGCCCACGGCAGATCCGGGAGTACTGTGTATCTGCATTACTAACATTTCATGGGGACAGTTAGAAGAGTCGTAAAAGATTCCTTGTGGGGAGCTTGTGCAAAACTCTGGGTCCCCCTGGTTCACACTGCTACGTGGGTGAGGACAACACAGAGGAGGGCGGCCCTCGGGACAAGACCTTAAGGCAAGGAGGGCTCTGAGAGAACAGGAAGCTGGCGGAGGTGGGTGGAAGTAGGGATTTTGTGTGCTGACAAGTGGGAAATTCCCCCAAGGGAGCCACACAGCCCTCTGCTTCTGCCTGCTTCCAGAGAGCAGACCCGTGTTGTGCAGGGAGAAGAGAATAAGCTTCTTAGGAATTCGGGCTCTGCGTTCAATTGCTGTGTGGCCTTGGGTGAGTTGCTGACCTCTCTGAGCTAAAGATCCATAAACTGGGGGACAGTGACGTCCCCAGAGAACAGTAGATGTTTATGTGAAGTCACTTTCACATGTCTTGCTCTCCTTGTAAAAGGGCGATGACTCAGTAGGGGTAGTTTTCAGGAAGGGAGACTAATTCCTGTACGTTGACATTTTATTCAAAAATCTACTTCACCTCCCCTCTTTCTAGTCCTCTCTTCCAAAGCTCTGGTTCTTAACTGTCTGTTGGAATTTCTAATGTATGTTTGGAGAGCTGTCCATGCACCTGCTGTGGCACACGCATTATTCTATTTAATGCTTATAACAGCCCTGTGAAGTGGCCACGACTGGTAGTATTGCTCTTTTCCTGGGGAGAAAATGAAAGCATCAGAAGATCAAGTGAGTGGTTTGAGACTGTACTGTGGGAGAAGGCCGGGTGTGGACGCTTCCATTCGGTCAGCAGAGCCCAACATCCTGTTCATGAAGGCTTGGACTATGAGCCAGGACCTCTGCCCAGATCACATCCGTGCACCGTCGCAGGAGATGGAGCCCATCCAAGTTCCTTATTCTAAAGTATGAGTTCCAGCCAGGGACGGTGACTTCCTCCTGTAAAATGTTCTGGGCAGTTTAGGGTGAACTCTTGTTTAGCACAATGGGGCAGGGGTGGGGGCAGGGATGTCGTAATTTTAAATATGTTTTTAAACTGGCATATTGCAGAAGCCAGTCTTCTTAGTGTGCACAATGAGTTTTGGTGCGAGTGGAGAGTTGGGGAACCAGGAGTCCCGTCACCCCAGGTCATCCCACCATTGTCCCCTGTGTCATCCATTGTACCCAGGCCCTGCCTCTGTTCCCGGTCTCTGGAAACCACAGATCTGTTCTCCAGCCCTCAGCCTTGTGTTGTCCAGAAGGGCAGACGCATGCGATCACACAGGATGTGGTTTTCTTGCCTCTGGCTGCTCTCACGCAGCCCGTCTCCTCCGGGATCCACACCGTCTGAAGCCGCTGCTACTCTGCCCCCCACAGATGGACCGCGGTTTGCTTATCAGTGCAGTCGGCGAGCACTTGGGCCAAACTGCTGTGAACCGTGGTGTGCAAGCTTTGTGTGGACAACAGTTCTCATTGCTCTTGGGTGAATACTCAGGATGGGGCCGCGGGCTCCTCAAGGCAGATCCGCTTCATCTGCTGCTGCTGTCCAGAACGGCCCCCCATTTCGAGTTCCTGCTAGCGGTGTTTGAGTTCCAGTTGCTCTACATCTTCGCTGGCACTTGGTGTGGTTTTAAAAATCGCAGCCATTGGCTATGCTCTGGACGTGGTTCGAGCCTGTGCCTCCCAGGTGCGTGTGCCTGGATCATGGAGGGTGGAACCTCCCGGGGCGGGGCTCACGGAAGCGATCAGGTCACAGAGGGCAGCACCTCCGGAAGCGATGGATGGAGCTCAGGGACCCTGACAATGAGCTGTGAGATGACAGCAGGTCTGGTCCCCGCATCTCTCTCTTCATGCCCCGCATGGGCTCGCTCCCTTCTGCAAATGGCTGCTTCCCCTTCTGGTCCCTGCCACGTCGTGACACAAATCACTCCCCCAAAGGCCAGGCCCAGCAGGAAACGTGAATGAGTAAAGGGAGCCGGGTGGCAATTGGCCTGTGACTCCCACTTCCTGTTCCTGAGAATCACTTCTACCCAGTTCTAACTGACAGCTGCCAACCTGGAACGTAAGCCCAGGGGTGAAGGTCATTAGATTTTTAGGGAAAAACTGGAAAATTCACAGCCCCTGAGTCAACCCTCTCACTGCTAAAAGAAAGAGTTGAGACAGGCGGTGAAAGTGCTTTTTCTAGGATTCCCTAACCAGTAGCCGCACAGTGCGGCAGAACCCATAGCCAGCTCCTTCCTCTCTACTCAGTACTGATCCGCTCTCAGGGCCTGTATTTGCTATGCAACAATGGGTGTAACAGTTTAGTGTCTTATTACAAGGTGTCCATTGTCTCACTGTTCCCTCCAAACCAGGAAACCACTTTTGAGGGGAGAGGACAAGGGTCTATGTCAAAACAGAGCCAGGTGCTGGTGTGAATGCAGAGGAAGATTGAGAAGGAAGAGCCAGATGGATGATGAGAGAGAGGAGTGGCAGGGCCCGGGGGGGAGGAGCCAAAGGAAGCTCCAAGCTGGGGCGCAGGTCCCACCCTTCCCCCTCTCAGGTGTTCTCTCCACCCTCTTCAGACTGACAGATGGTTCTGTGCAAAGCCAGGATTTGTTTTCACAGAGCTGGCTTGCTCTCTGGAGTATTATTACACATTTCTCCTTCCACACCTGAGAATGTACGCAGTTGTTGAGGGAAAACACCAGATCCAGAAAAAGTGGTCTCCTTTGCTTATAGGCAGTGTGCAATGACAGTGAAAATAATGATAACACAAGAATTATTCTAAAGACTACTTATTTTAAATATGTATTTGAAAGGCAGAGAGAGACAGAGAGATCTTCTTCTGTTGAAATGTTTCAGGTGCCTGCAACAGCTGGGTCTGGGCCAGGCCAGAGCCCGGAGCCTGGGACTCTCCTCCCGCAGTACCAGGGATCCCAGCACTCGACCACCACCTGCTGCCACCCAGATCACACGTTATTGGGAAACTGGATAGGAAGCAGAGTTGGGATTTGAACCCAGGTCCTCTAATATGGGTGTTACTGATTTTTTAAAAAATCTTATTTATGGCCGGCGCCACAGCTCACTAGGCTAATCCTCCGCCTTGCAGCGCCGGCACACTGGGTTCTAGTCCCTCCCGGTCAGGGTGCCGGATTCTGTCCCGGTTGCCCCTCTTCCAGGCCAGCTCTCTGCTGTGGCCAGGAGTGCAGTGGAGGATGGCCCAAGTCCTTGGGCCCTGCACCCCATGGGAGACCAGGAGAAGCACCTGGCTCCTGGCTCCTGCCATCAGATCAGCGCGGTGTGCCAGCCACAGCACGCCGGCCGGTCGCGGCTGCCATTGGAGGGTGAACCAACGGCAAAGGAAGACCTTTCTCTCTGTCTCTCTCTCTCACTGTCCACTCTGCCTGTCAAAAAAAAAATCTTATTTATTTATTTATTTATTTGAGAGGAAGAGTTAGAGTGAGAGAGAGAGAGAGGCAGAGGGAAAGGTCTTCCATTTGCTAGTTCACTCCCCAAATGGCTGCTATGGCCAGAGCTAGGCTGATCTGAAGCCAGGAGCCAGGAGCTTCTTCCAGGTCTCTCACGAGGGTGCAGGGACCCAAGCACTTGGACCATCTTCTACTGCTTTCCCAGGCCACAAGCAGAGAGCTGGATCAGAAGAGGAGCAGCCAGGACTAGAACTGGCACCCACAGGGGATGCTGGTGCTGCAGGCGGAGGCTTAGTCCACTACCCACAGCGCCAGCCCCTGGGTGTTACTGATTTTCAAGGGCTGGGCAGTCTGCTGAGAGTCCAGCGTCTTTGAACCATTGACTGCTCTGCGCAACCCTGTGAGGTTGAGATTGGTGTTATCCCCACTGCAAGGAGGCAGACCCCGAGGCTCTGGGGATTATGAGGACTGCCCAAGGAGGCAGACCCCGAGGCTCTGGGGATTATGAGGACTGCCCAAGGTCACAGCGAGATACTGTTGGAGCAGGAATTGACCTAAGTTTATTTAACATTGAAATCTGCCACCAGCGCACTGCCCAAACCATTCGCTCATGTACACACTCTCTTAGTTGTCACCACATCGAATATCACTCATTCTACTGCCCCGTATTTCTGTGACCTGTGAAAACGTTTTACCACTCCCTCCCCATGAGATACAGTGGTGCAGGCTCTGAGCCGCGGCAGAACTGTGACTCTAAGCTGGTGCCTTCTGGGCTAGCTGCTTACCCTCTCTGGGCTGTGATGTCCTTTGTCCCTAAAACGAGGTGCATGGGCTCAACTTGCTAGTTCATGGAGAGACTCTGTGAGACAAGGAAGTGGATGCCCCATAGCACTGACTTGATTAGCCAGCTCTTCTAAATGGTAGGGCCTCAGTTATCACACTTCTCCCAACATCAGCAATATTGAAGAATTACCCAGCGCCTTCCAGAACTTTCCAATTCAGTACTTGCTAGCAGTGGGAGGCAGATTTAATGACTTACAGTTTGAAGCAAAGCTTTATTACTCTATCTGGATCAAGTCAAGGAAAGCAGCTAAATATATTTGTTACAGGCTTGTGCTTGCTCACAGAAACCATCGGGATAATAAGATCATGCCTGAGAGTGTGGACCGGGGGGTCAATCATCCTGATTTAATTTCTGATCACTCCATGCATTGGCCTTGTCACCGGGTTGTGTGTGGTTCTTTGCTTCGGTTTCACAGGATCAGCTGCGAATGCTTGCGTAATAAAAAGCTACAGCGCCAGAAACAAAGAGGATGTCCAGAGGCAGGCAGGTGTGCTGTGTCTCAGCGGCCGGAGGGTCAGTGCTCTGTGATCCTCCAAGCCTTTCCTTAAGGCCGCTGGTGAGGTGCTTCTGAGCGAGGGGGAAGGGGGCAGTGGACCCTTTCCGAGACCACAAAGCTGCTCAGAACCTCCCAGCAGTTTTGCTTTGGTGCTCTGCGTGATCACAGGCTGAGATGCAAGGGAGCCTGGGAGAGGCTCTGGGGCGGAAGTCAGCAGGGAGAGGGGCTGTGGGCAGGGGACAGAGACGATGCGTACAGAGGGCTGGGCGCCGTGGCTGACGGCAACAAGCACTTGATGGACGGGACAGTGCTTGCCGCCTCCGTGATCATGGGATGTTTGAACTGCAGCAGGGACGCTGAGCCTTGGTTGCGATGTTCTGTAGGGGTGAATGGTAGAGCCAGAGCAAAGCCCATTTTGCCATCAGACTGAAAACTCCATGGGGGGAGGGTCTAAGTCTTTCTCATTTACGATTCCAGTGGGATGCCTAGAACAGAGATTACCACATGGTGTTGCTATTTGGTAAATGAATGGGTAATACCATTGGATACATTTCTTTCACCATTTTCTCACAAAAATATTCAGTGCCTATTAAATCCACATAATCAGGTTAATAGTTGTCTCTTGCTGTGTCCTAGATTACCGCCAATTTAGCAGCTTAGAATAACCAACATCGCCTATCTCACACAGTCTCTGAGGTCAGGTTTGGACAGAGAGTTTGGCTTAGGGTCCCCGGTAAGGAGTTAAGATGCCATCCAGACACCAACCAAGGCGGGAGACATCTAAATCTAAATTCTTGGCTGCAATTAGATGATCCACTTCGAAGGTGGTGCAGCCACTTGGCTGCTGGCTGGAGGCCTCCGCTCCTCCCCGGGCAGACCTTCCTCTGGGGCTGCGTCAGAGGTCTCATGAAATGCCAGCTTTGCAGCAGAGGAGCGAGGAAGCCGCTGCGATGCCTTCCGCGACTAGTCTCCACGGCGTCCAAGGTCACTGCACAGTACTCTCACGGCGTCCAAGGTCACTGCACAGTACTCTCTTCCTTAGACACAAGTCACTGGCAGTCTCTGCTTTGTGAGAAGAGAGTTGTCAAAGAATCCAAGGGCACATTTTAAAAGCTCTTCTGTTTTGTTCAATGCCGTGTTTTTGCATCTGGATTTGCTTGAAGCATAGAGCAGGTGCTTAAACACAGGTGGCCCCAGGTTGTATCTTGAAACATAAAATTTGTTGTATTTTTAAGAAAAAAAGAACACAAAATCAGTTAGAAAAGTTAATATTTGTTTATATTGGAAAATGCAACAAAGTTTTAAAGGCACGAAGAATAATACATAATCCTGAAAAACAGAATGTTCTTAAAAAATTGATTTCCTAACTTTTCCTTCAATGTTTTTTCTATATATTTTGTCTATGAAGTCTTTGATAGTTTGTTCATCTGACAGTGATAATAATATTTTCTATGGCAAGACCACTAGGAACAAGATTTAATCTTTCTTCCATCATGATTGATCAAAATTTTTTTAAAGCTGTATTTATTTATTTGAAAGGCAGAGTGACGGGGTGGGAGGATGGGCAGACCTTCTGGTTCACTCCCCAAATGCCTGCAACAGTGATGGGCCAGGCTGAAGCCAGGAGCCCAGAACTCCACTGGAGTCTCCCCCATGGGTGGCAGGGGCCTAAGCACTTGGGCCATCACCTGCTGGTTTCCCAGGTGCCTTGGCAGGAAGTTGGGTAGGAAACCTCTGTGTCGGGTCTTGAACTGGCCCTCCAGTATGAGACAGAGCTGTCCCAAGAGGCAGCATAACCCACTACACCACAACACACCCTCCAAAATTTGTTTTTTTATTATTGTCTGTTTGGAAAAGTTTCTTTCGCCTTCACTACTCAGAGGCATAATGTTTTAGGATTGTTGTGTGAAGACTGAGAAAGCATATGAATATATGGAGCTCAAAATATTCAGAAACAATCCAGTTAGAAATGAGCAGAGGATCTGCGTGGACGTCTCTCAAAAGGAGAAATACAAACAGCTAACAAATACATTTAAAAATGCTCAATATCGCTAGCAGATAGAGATGCAAATCGGAACCGCAGAGAGGTATCGTTTCATTACAGCTTGAATGGCTATTATCAAAAAGACAACAAATAGCAAATGCTGGAGAAGACATGGCGAAGAGGGAACCCCTATCCACTGAGGGTGAGGATGCAAATTAGTGCAGCCATTATGGGGACCGCGATGGAGGTTCCTAAAAAACTAAAAATAGATCCACCACATGACTCAGCTATCCCACTTCTGTGTGTTTACCGGAAGGAAATGAAATCAGGATATGAGAGCAATACCTGCACTCGCGTGTTCACTGCAACTCTCTCTACGACAGCCAGGATACAGAGTCCTCCTGCGTGTCCATGGGTGGATGAATGGATACATAACACGTGTCATGTGTACACAATGGAATATTATTGACCCACAAGGAAGAATGAGATCCTGACATTTGCAGCAAAATGGATGGGTCACTATGTTAAGAGAAATAAGCCAGATGCAGAGTCTCTCATATGCAGAAATTTTAAAAATAAGATGGTCGATCTGCACGTGGAAGAGTGATTACTAGAGGCTGGGGAGGGTGGGGACCAGGTAGAGGGAAGTCGGGTAATGGGTATGAAAACTCAGAAGTAGCAAATTCTAGTGCTCCTTGGCACAGTGGAGTGACCATGGTTCGTAATCATGAATTATACTCTGTATAAAGAACTGGGAGAGAGGACCTGGGAGGTCCTAGACTCAAATAAAGATAAAGAAATGGGAGGGCTGGTTTCCTCGTTTGATCACTTTATGCTATGTATTTATGTTGCAATATTGCACTACACTGCAAAAAATGCACAATATTACATGTTAATCTATCTTCCTATCTATGTATCTGTCATCTAAGTATCTTTTTTTTTTTTTAAGATTTATTTGAAAGAAACAGTTACAGAGAGACGGAGGGAGAGGCACAGAGAGAGAGAGAGAGAGATCTTCCATTCAATAGTTGACTCTCCAAATGACCACAATGGCCTGGGGCTGGGCCAGTCCAAAGCCAGAGCTTCATACAGGTCTCCCACATGGGTTCAGGGGTCTAAGAACTTGGGCCATTCTCCACTACTTTCCCAGGCACCTTAGCTAGGAACTGGATAGGAATTGGACCAGCCAGGCCATGAACTGAACTGGTGCCCATATGCGATGCCAGTGTTGCAGGCAGTGACTTTACCCACCATGCCACAACACTGGCCCCATTAATCAAAATCTTTAAAAAAATAAAATAATTTTTAAAATTGAGTACAGAGGCCAGTGCTGTGGCATAGCGGGTAAAGCTGCCATCTGCAGCATCAGCACCCCATATGGGCGCCGGTTTGAGTCCCAGCTGCTCCACTTCCAATCCAGCTCTCTGCTATGGCCTGGGAAAGCAGTGGAAGATGGCCCAAGTCCTTGGGCCCCTGCACCCATGTAGGGGACCCAGAAGAAGCTCCTAGCTTCAGATAGGCATGGCTCTGGCCATTGTGGCCACCTGGGGAGTGAATCAGCAGATGGAAGATCTCTCTCTCTCTCTCTCTCTCTCTCTCTGCTTCTGCCCCTCTGTAACTCTGCCTTTCAAATAAATAAATAAATCTTTTTTTTAAGTATTTATTTATTTCAGAGAGAGAGAGAGCGAGAGAGAGAGAGCGAGCACTGTCATCAGCTGGTTCACTCCCCAAATGTCCATAACATGTGAGGCTGGACCAGGACACAGTCAGGAGCCAAGAACTTCTTGGTCTCCCATCTGGGTGACAGTGATCCAACTACTTGAGCCATCACCAATGCCTCTCAGGGTGTGTATCAACAGGAAGCTGTTATCAGGACTGGATCCTGAACTCGAACCCAGGCACATCCCAAGCAGTGGGTGTCTTCAGTAATGCACCAAATGCCTATTTCCTTTTATTAATTAATCCCTATTTCTTTTTATTAATTAGATGATGAAGTAACCCAATAGTTTATTCTTTACTGTTATTCAAGATCCTGTCATGGTCTTTAGGGTATGACCTGTGTTCTCTCTTGACAGAGAACTCACCAGAATTCTCTAGGTCAAGGTGCATGAGATGTCACTGGAGGTCACCTGATACGCTGGAAGTACTTTCAGTATGAATGCCGCTCTGTGTCTTTGCACATGTGTTTGCTATTTGTGGAACCGACACCCTGAAATACACACAGCGTTTACTGGAGTGCAGTCACGCCTGTCCGTTTACTCACGGTGTAGGGTTTGGCGGCCTTTGCACTACAGTGTCAGAGCTGAGTAATTGTGGCAGCAACAGCACTGCCTACAAAGCCTAAGCAATGTACTAAAATTCACAAAAAACCTGCAGACCAACCCCTTCCTTGGGGCAGTGAGAGACCTAGTTGCCCTCTTGACCCCACTGAAATTTTTTTGCGTCCTTAAGCCACACCACACCATCGACTGCCCCAGGAGCCACCTCCCTGCTCTGCCTGGAACCTTCCTCTGCACGCCCACGGTTGGTAGTGACGGGTCTTTTTCGTTTCTGCTGTTGTCCCCGGACTCTGCTGACTTCCTGTCAACGGGGACTCCATGTCTTCCCGCGGTGGGCAGGAACGTGGACCCTACGGCCACAGGACTGAACCTGGAGCCCAGGCTCGTTGCTGACAAGTTGTGGAAGTTCAGGTAAGCCACATAACCTCCTAGCGCCTCCATTTTCTGCTCTATAAAATGGGGATATTCCTAATAACTACCAGTGTGAGTTTTGAAGAGGGTTATGGGTATTGCAGGACTTATCTTCACCCAAAACTCATGCAAATGTTTAAACTCTGATGTCTTAATATTAATGGTTGATGGATTAAGGGTGGAACCTTGATCTAAGTGTGGCATCTGAGAGGTGGGTCTGGTGAGAGGTGTTTAGAGGCGTGCCCTCAGAGGGTGGTTCTCGCGAGAGTTTTGATTATTTTGAAACTGAGTTTGGCCTAGGTTCTCTCTCTGTTCCTGGTCACCATGCCATCCTGCCTCTGCCGCTGCCATGCGCAGCCCCCACAGACACTGGACTGTGGGATCTCCTGATCCTGAGCTGTAACCTCCCACTGTCACATGAAATAAACTCCCAAAGAAGCTCTTCTCAGGGATTTCGTTAAAGCAATAAAACACACACACACACACACAGACTAATACTGGGATTAAATAAATGGATGTAGATAAAGCCCTAAGAACAAGGCCTGGCCCATGGTGAGCTCTGCGGCTAGGTTAGAGTTAGCTATTAATTACTCAATACTGTGTCTTCACAATCTAGCACAAGGACCTCAGCAAGTTTCTCTCTTTAACAAGTGAATTTGGCAGGGCTGGGGAGGGGGTTGGGGATGAAGCATTTGTAGAATGGAGACTTTATCTAGTTGAGTAAATAATGAGTATTTCATACTGTTCTTAATCTTTTCCAGACGCTGCTGTGTTTAAACGTTATGGACTTTAAGCTTGTAAGCTTGGCTTACAAAACAAAGACAAATCAGGTCTGCAAGTGTTTGAATCATTTTAACAAATTAATTGTTTTTTCCCCCTGTTTAGTATCTGTATTGTGCTGCCATGGCCCAGGTGAGACCTAGACATAGTATGAGTCCTATACCAGCAAGCTATTGCCACAATACTGCCTTGTATCAGATCACCCTAAAGTGCAATGACTTCAAAAAACAATTGTTCATTCTCACATAGGCATCTGTATATTGGCTGGAGCTCAGGTCATCTGAGTTGACCGGGGCCTCAAGTTGTGTATTGCATCTGGGTTTGGTCCACGGGTCTTGTCCTTAGAGGATGAGCATGTGCCTCTCATGATACTGTCAAGTACAAGAACAAAACCCACTGTGCAATCCCACTTCAAGGATTAGCCTGCTAACATCCTGTTGGCTGACATAAGTCACGTGGCCAAGTCCAACATTAGTGCTGCAAGGAAGAATATTCCATCTAGAGCAGGAGTGGGAGCAGAGTGCAGATTTTCTGAACACTTAATCTGAGCTATCCCAATAAAAATTACAATGAAAATCAAGCTAAAGTATAAAATAGAATTGTGACTTTCAAAGGGACAAAGACATGCAAGTACATGTGTTGAAATGAAAAACAACTTTTCTGATCATTTCTTTTGACTACCGAGGAGGGGGTATGGGGGTATGTGGCTTTAATTGTGTGTTTGCTCTGCATGTTGGGCAAGTCCATGTGTTTCAACTTTGGACCCTTGTGCCCAGCACATAGTAGGCATTTGATAAAGTTTGTGAAAGGCAGTTATTGGATTTTATAAGTGCAGAGCAATTGCATCAGGGTGTGATGACGCTACTTGCCCAGTTGCATGTGAAAGCCCACGCGACTTCTCTCACCAACTCCGAGGGCTCTCTGGAGGTGGCGCCTAGTTTGTCTGCTCCTCTGCTTTGTGAATGAAATCATTTTCTCAGCCTGATCATTGCTCAAGGAAATGCTTGCTTGGAAAATAATCCAAAGAAGAATGTAGACAAGCAAATAAATAGTTCAATGAACAAAAGATAAAGTGTGAATTAAAACCAGCTTTCAGAGCCTAACATTCTCTTTTCATCTTTTGTTTATTCAGTAATTATACAGTCAATTATAACCTGTACAAAAAGTTTTATATGCCTATTAGTCTATAAATATCTACAGTATATATGTATTTATAGATAAAGGGGGAGGAGATACTCAGGACTGAGCAAACATGTTCTGACACAGAAATAACTTTGCAAATACTGTGAGGTTCTGGATCTGCCATCACTGGTTTTTCCTGACCATGGGGAATCATAACCACCTTTTATTGAGAACCCAACAGGTACCACCCATGGTGCTAAATGAACTGTTTCTCCCTCTGTTCATATTGTTTTTCACCCATACAACAATACTGCCCCCACACCTACTTCTCTTCTACAGAGATTCAGGAAGTAGCTTGAGCTTGTATTTGAATTCCAAGATTTTTCAGGAAGGAATCGGGCTGTGTTAAAACAGTTCTGGCTGCAGGGAAGGACACTATGGCCTCGGCCAACAGAGTAGGCATGTTAATATCCCCCTGGCTACAGCATCTTTATCTCTTGTGCCAGAGTAAATGTCACAGAACACCAACCCCGGGGGAGCAGCGTTGGGTGCAGCCCTGCAAGTGTTTGCGATATATTTCCATTCTGTTCTCCTTCGGTTACTTGGTACACAGCTTCTTTTATTAGATGACTAGGATAGGTGTGGTAAATAGTTCACCTAGATCATCAGGTGCCTCTGGTTTGAAAATGCTGGCTCTCAGCGCTGTCAGTGAAACCCAGAGATGAAATCTTACAAGCGAAGGATAAAGGTTCAAGTAGTCTCCACTATGGGAAGGGCTTAATTAGCCGTGATTTTTAAAGCAGTATCTGCAGATGGAACAGATAAGATGTCTCCTGTCTGTCTGGTGCCTGCCGTGTGGGGGCAGCCTTAATTGAATCATGACTGTTAGCTTTCCTTGGCTGTGAATGAGGGCAGTAGCAGTTCTGATTCGGGTTTAGAAATTGTCCACAGGAAGATCAGGATGGCTTTGCTATCTCTGCTTCAGCCTGGAGATTTCTGAGGGAAAGAGCAGCAATCAGCCAGCTGGGTAATGACAAAAACAAAACAAAGCAGCCTTTTCCTAACTTCTAGGGTTTTCTGTTTTGTTAAAACATGCATTTAGGTGAATCTTTGTTCTACAGATACAGAAAAAATACAGGCCAACGGGTTTCTTCCTTTCCAGTTAAGAACAACCTTTAAAAGGCATCCAGGAAGAGTTGGCCCTGCTGTCTGAATTGCTAGTTGGGAGAACAAAAGAAGCAAGGGAAAGTTTGACTTGACTTCCTCTGCAATTTGTTTACATCATCAGAGCAGAAAGAATCTGGGGCCTGGCTCTCCACTTCCTGATGGAGACAGGGGAAAAAGAGAGAGAGAGAGAGAGCCTGGAGTGGGATTCGTGGGGATGCAAAGCGCTCCAAACGCCAGCGGCTGCAGCCCCAAGGGCAAAGGGAGAGGCCGCCGAGGAGCGCAGAGGCTGTGATGGCCAGGGTCCCCCACGCCGCCCCTGCCCCAGCCCTGGGGCTGCAGAGAGGCCGGGGCAGTGCCCGCCTGTGGCTAGGGAGTCCTCGGACCGCACCGCGTCTCAGGCCTGGTAATTCAAAGACCACAGTGTTGCCATGCAGTAGCCTTGAGCTGTGAGTACTTCCTGGGCAATCCAGCGCCATGGGACTGGATCCAACGATCAGGTCCTGTGCACCTCTGCCCGCAGCCTGCGGAGTCAACCAATCCGGTCAGGCAACTTTTTTGGGGGTGGAGGTGTCCAGGTATGTACTTTATCCCTGGCAGCAAACTTCTGGGATTTTAGCCGAAGTTGTTTTCTGTGTCTCTAGGATCTTCTGCGCAGAACGTCTCTATCCCACCCACCCACCCTCACTTTTTCTTTTCTTTTCTTTTCTTTTTTTTTTTTTTTTTTATAAGAAAAACAACTCCAGGCAGCTGAGCTCATTCGATAATCGCTGTTAGCTTCCTGCCACTTGCATTGGGGCAGGCGGGGCCTGGAGGGGGAGGAGAGGAGGACCAAGGATTTAAATGGAAACCATCAGACTGCTGTCTTCTTCAGAAATCTCCCTTACGCGGTTTTCTGGACGTTCTTCAGCCGAGCTCGGCCCTTGCTGGCCCAGGCCGGAGAAAACCACAGCCCTGCACGGACGCGTTCGGCTCAGCCCCTTCCAGGGGCAGGAACGCCGAGGAGATGGCAAACCGTGCAGATGGGTGGGAAAGACACAGGTGGAGACTCGGGCCAGAGCCGGTGCGGGGTGTGGGGTGTGTGGGGGGGCCCTTCCTCGGGAGCCTGGGTCACTCTTCCTAAAGTACATTTTTTTGGTGAATTACTGTGGCACTCAGAGGACAAAATGCCGTGCAGTAAAGGCCAGAGGCTGCTGGAGGGATGCACCCCTAACACGCGGGGGACTTGGAACTTCCCGGCTTCTGTGCATAGCTGCACCTCCAGTCTGCAGGGCAGGTTTCAATGCATCCTCTTGTTTAATCCCTGCTTCCTGCCAGGCTGCCCTGGGTCTTCCTTTGAAGGCTCAAACACTCAGCATTCAATTAGCCCTTTGAATCCCCCTCCGACGCCCGCCGGGCTAAATACGGTCGAAAGTGTTGTTTTAAGTGGAGCTGATCTGGAGGAGAGGTAACGTAATCTTCTGAGTGTGCAGAAGCCGAGAAGCAAGGTGGCAGTCATTCCTGCGAGCGCTAGGCACGGCCCGAGCGCCTCTGCTCACTTCTATTTTATGGGCATAGGAACATTGCAGAGTACAAAGGGCTAGCGCATACAAAGGGCGCTTGGCGATTCTTTTTGCTTGTTCCCCTGTACTTCTGTAGCATGTTTACAAGGTTAATAAGCACGCTTTTCTTCACGGTGTGCCGTAAATGCTCCAACTACTGCTTGCACTTTGATTTGAGCATCATTCAAACGGCCTGAATGGAGCAGAGGTAGCCTTTGTCTCTCATTGATTCGGAAACAAAAGCCGCAGGGAAGAAAGTTTACTTTGCCATTCAGCAGCAGATGGACGCGTAGGTGATCAATTCAACCAAGGATCTGACGCCTTTTCATCTTCGGAGAGAACTGCCCTCTAGTTATGACAAGGTGGGGTTCGGCCCTCTAGTTTGCATTTATCCTCCTGTGCTCTGATCCAACAGGCAATTATGCCAGCCACACACCCAAGTTTCCAGGAATAAGAAACAGCAACCTGTGGAAGAGAGCGGCGTCAAAGACAGAAGTAGTAAACGGGGCAGGCGTTTGGACAAGCGGGTAAGGTGCCCGCCCAGCCCGTGCGGGAGCGCCTGGGTTCCCTCCCTGCTCTGGCTGCTGATTCCAGCTTCCTGCTAATGAGATCCTGGTCGGCGTAAGTAGTTGGGTCCCTGCCAGCACCAGGGAGACCTGGATTGCGTTCCCAGCTTCTGGCTCCAACCGCGGTCCAAGCCTCGGCTGCTGTAGGCATGGAGAGAGGAGAGAGAGCTGGCAGATGGGGACTCTCTCTCTCATTCCTTCTCTCTGCTTCAAGGAAAAAAAAAGCATTTAAGTTGTGTTGAGTCTGTGGTCTCTTCAGTGAGCAATTCCAGGGGCATCATAAATCATTTTCCCTCTCCCTTGTTTTTCCCAATGCCTCTGGCGCGGAGACCGTCATCCTGCGCACTACAGACAGCTAGTTCACTAGGGCCAGGATCCTTGTTTGCTGGGAAGAGGCGGTGTGCATTTGTAGGATGCTGAGCAGATTCCCCAGCCCCCCCCCGCCCCGCCCCCACTGGGCTCCTCCATTCATGGTGTTCGAAGCGCCCCCTAGCGCTGTCCTCTAGAAGGGGAGGTGTGTCCCCCCTCCCCCCGCCCCGCCATGCTGAGAACCTGAGCACCAGGGCGCTCTTGGCACAGGATCCTGTTGGAAGAAAGGTGAGGGCCGTTTAGCGGCGCTGAACCATGGGATGGTGAACGTGGCTGGTTGCAGACCCCGTCACTGCACGTGGCATTCATAGCGTTCACCTGAGAACCATGAGCGAGGAAGGGAAGAGACTCAGAGGGTGCAGGGACAACTCCAAAGCCACCGGCAGGCGAGGGCGCGGCTGGGGCGCAGGCGCGGTCTCCCTGCACCTGGCCTGGTGGCCAGCCTCTCCCCATAGACTTTGCCGTTTGTCTCACAACCTTGAAGTAACATGTGCGTGTTTACTTTTCCAGGGGACACAAAGGGGCAGGTAGTGCAGTAATAACACAGATGCACTTCAGAAGGTGTTGGGAGGGTCACGGGGGCCACAGCGACTCCTTCATTAAGTATCTGAAGAAGAGAAGTGAGACCTCGAAGCACATACTCTGAGGCCTGTAAAGCTAGGGTTGTTCAGTTTGGACTTTCCCAAAGGTCACTTTCAAGACATGAAGGTTTTTTTTTTCTTCAAGATTTTATTTATTTATTTGAGAGGCAGAGTTACATGGAGAGAGGAGAGACAGAGAGAGAGGTCTTCCATTCACTGGTTCACTTCCCAGATGGCCACAACGGCTGGGGCTGCACTGATCTGAAGTCAGGAGCCAGGAGCTTTTTCCGGGTCTCCCACGTGGGTGCAGGGCCCAAGCACTTGGGCATCTTCTACTGCTTTCCCAGGCCACAGCAGAGAGCTGGATGGGAAGTGGAGCAGCCAGGACTCAAACTGGAGCCCATAAGGGATGCTGGCACCGCAGGCGGAGACTTAGCCCACTACACCACAGCGCCGGCCCCTACTGCATTGTCTTAAAAGCTTCCTACATACACCACTGGGAAGCTAGCCCCTCACGAAAGGTTTGGAGCAACAGTAAGGGTGTCTGGAAGCCGCCCCCACTGCCCTGCTGTGCTGGCTTCCTCCCGCCACCTCGGAGCCCTCCCTGGCGCTTCCAGCCTGGACCCTCTGTGCGCCGTGTCCACCTCGGAGCCCTCCCTGGCGCTTCCAGCCTGGACCCTCTGTGCGCCGTGTCCACGCGGCCTTCCTTCCTTCTGCACCCAAGGGGCAGCTGAGGAGGTGCCCTGGCCGTTCCCTGGAACGAAGCCAACTAGGAAACGTTCTGTGTGGTCAACGTGGCCCACGCCTCTCCCTCCTCTCTCCAGGGCCCTGCTGTGTTTGCTTTCCGGATCCTCTGTCTCCTCCCACCAGAATCTAGGCTGTGAGTCCCGAAGGCTTCCTCTTGTCTCAGTGCGCAGAACAGAGCTGGGACCCTGGAGGCGCCCAGTGACTGCTGGGGGCTGCAGGTGGATGCCTTCTTGCCCTTTGTAAACCTTTGCCTTTTCATGCGCAATAATATTATGTTTAATATTTAAATGTCTCAGCATGACAAATTAAGTACTCCAAAGGTTCATCACTTATTCATGTTAAGTAATAGGTTTTGTGTTGAGTACAGTTTAATGAAGAAAATTCAAATGGTCTCTCTTGGCCTCATGATCAGGGAAGCCCTAATGATGTTTAAAAAAACAACTCAAACACACACGCTTGTAGTTAGAAACCTTACATTTTATAGGAAGGCATGAAAAAAAAAAGTGGAAGAGGAGCTGGTATTGTGGAGCAGTGGGTTAAGCTGCCCTTTGCAACACCCATATCCCATAAGGCAGTGCTGGTTCGAGTCCTGGCTGTTGGCTTCTGATCCAGCTCCCTGCGAATGTGCCCCGGAAAGCAGCAGCTGCTGGCTTTGGGCCACCCCCATGGGCGATCCAGGTGGAGTTCCCGGCCCCCGACTTCAGCAAGGCCTACTCCTGGCAGTTGTGGCCATCTGGGGAGTGAACTAGCTGGTGGAACATTCTCTCTCGACATTCAAATAAATAATAAATAAATCTTGAAAAGAAAAAGATGACATTCCCCTATCTACTTTCCTAGTTCCTATCAGAAAAAGGAAATCCTTATAACCAAGTTCTCTTTGTGCTAGAAAACTTTTCTATGCCTACAGGGTATATATTTGCTAGCAAACATGCATTTTCTTACATGGCTTTACTCCTTTACTCACACACTCACCAGAGGAACTTCTTCTACAACCCTGGTATGATTTGTACTCGGGTGTTTTCACACCCGTGGACTGAATATTTCTCTCCTCCTGACTCTGCCTCCCCTCCTCCACCCACCATTCAACCCCCAGCCCGCGCACAGCAAGCCTAATTACCTACTCCATGAGTGAATAACTAAACTGGGGCATTCTTATCTAACAGGAGGCATTATGCTTTTATTAATGCACCTGCACAGAAGCAGCGTTCCTGCACCATTAGGGAAAGGCTTCAAGAGTCATATTCAATGAACAGCTATGGTTGCTTTTTTAAAGATTGATTGTGTTCTAATACGCTCACAGGAATTATCCCGCGGGACCCTCAGGCTAATCTCGAAAGTGGTATTTTAATTTCTGTTCTTCAATTGAGGAAATGGAGACTCAGAGACGTTACAACCAAACTGTCCAGTAAGATTTGAGTATTGGGAAAAAGCCGTGCGTCTCTGCCCTGTTTATAAATATTTTCCTTTCTGCCAATTTCAAAAGTCAGCTTGCCATGGACACTGCAGCTCGGCTCTAAAGAGCAAAATTTCCCTCTATCATCAGTCATGCCACCAAGATACACTTCAAGTTCCTCTAGTTAGTACAGCAGGTAAGGAAAGGAATTGAAGAATTCAAACAGAAACCCAATCCAACAAAACACCTCCAGCGCAGCAGAAATTTCTAGATGTTGTCAAATCAACCTGCGTGGCTTTCGAGAAGTAGTCAGGGCTAGGTGTGTGGCACAGCAGGTGAACCTGCAGCTTGCACTCAGAGCGCTTGTTCAAATCCTGCCACCCAGCTTCCGATTCAGCTCGCTGCTAGTGCCCCTGGGAAGGCCGTGGAAGATGACACAACTGCTTAGGCCCCTGCCACCCTCATGGGAGGCCCAGATGGAGTTCTGGTTCCGCCGGGCGCAGATTTGACTGCTGTGGCCATTTGGGGAGTGAAGCAGCAGGTGGAAAATTCTCTCTCTCTCTCTCTCTCTCTCTCTCTCTCTCTCTCTCTTCCTTTCTCTCTCTCTCTCTCTCTGTTGCTCTGTCTTTAAAATAAATAAATAAATAAATAAATCTTTAAAAAAGAGAAGCTGACTTGGGCATCTCAGAACCAAAACACAGGAAGTAAATTGTAAAGGACACAATGACGTGAATCAAACAGCCATTTCTTAGGGGAAGCAGAGAGTCTGCTCTCTGCTGCTTTCCTGTCACCTGCCAACGTGGGGAGGGAGGACTGGGGCCAGAAGATTCACCCAATGGCCCTATTTTCAAAAAGAAATAGTGGGGCGGGCGCTGTGGCGTAGCGGGTAAAGCTGCCACCTGCAGTGCTGGCATCTCACATGGGCGCCAGTTCTGGTCCCTGCTGTTTTACTTCTGATCCAGCTCTCTGCTATGGCCTGGGAAAGCAGAAGATGACCCAAGTCCTTGGGCCCCTGCACCAGTGTGGGGGACCCGGAGGAAGCTCCTGGCTCCTGGCTTCGGATCGGCGCAGCTCAGCCGTTGTTGCGGTCAATTGGGGAGTGAACCAGCGGATGGAAGACCTCCTCCCCGCTCCTGCCTCTCCTTCTCTCTCTGTGTAACTCTGACTTTCAAATAAATAAATAAATCTTTTTTTTTTTAAAGAAATAGCTGAGGTATAACTCATTTAAAAAAAGAAATTAAAAACCATTGAATTACACGTTTCAAATGGATGAAGATTACAGGATGTAAAACATATCAGAAGTATGCTGTTAAAAAGAGATGAAGGAGCCAAAGTCACTGCTGCCTTGTCAGTAGTCTGCAAGCGGTGTGTGTGTGTGTGTGTGTGTGTGTGTGTGTGAACCGGTCTAGGAGTCCAGCACGCCGGGCTGTGGGAGACTCACAGGTTACTGTTTAATTTCTGTAGAAAATACGTGCCCAGCAGGAGACGGTTCTCTGCTAAACAGACCACAGAGCACGGGTCTCCTGCACGGAACGACCGGAAGGAGAGCGAGCCTGCTGGCCGCCGGGGCTGCCCTGTCTTCCCGGGGTGGATCTTGGAGGCTGCGCGGCCTCCCTCGCGCTCCGCCTGTGGATTCTGTCCTCGCAATAGCAGCCTTGTTCTGTGGCGGGGATGTAGAGATTTATGGAGGCAAAGTGTGAGAGGAACTATTTCCAAAAGAAATAACCACAGGAACAGTGGGAGGGAGGAGGAGGAGAAAGGGGGGAAGGGAGAAATGCAGGGAGGAGAAATTAATTTTTAGGACAGAATAAAATTGACTGTATTTTCATCAACACATTAAAACTAGACTTCAACAGCTATCAGCTGGTGGTTCCTGAAGACAGTCATCTGCTGGGCCTGGACCAGAAGCGAGAGCCTGCCGAGGAGGGGGGTGGGCAGGGAGGTCTCGCAGCCATGGCTCAGTCGTGATGGGAGGCTCCGTGACTGGGAGGCAGAAACCAAGAGCTGGGACTTACGGCGACCTGCAAGCCGCCAGCCAGGCCCAGGGGAGGCTTCCTCACCTCTGCATGAGGAAGAAGGAAATCAAAGACCCCGCATTAGGAACAAAGGACAGCACACTCTTTTTCAATCCAAAAGAAAACAACAAATGAGACTCTTTTCTGAGACATACAGGAGCACAGGCCCTTGAGGTACCTTGGGGTTTGAAAATGTCACCAAGGGGCTGGTGAAGCTGGTCAAGCCAGTGCCTGCAAGGCCAGCATCCCCTATGAGCCCTGGTTGGAGTCCTGGATGCTCCACTTCCCATCTGGCTCCCCACTAATGCACCCGGGAAAAACAGCAGAAGATCCCCAAGCCCTTCCGCCCCTGCCACCCACGTGGGAGACCTGGAGGGAGTTCCTGCCTTCTGGCTTTGGCCTGGCCCAGCCCTGGCAATCCTAAGCATTGAGAGTGAACCAGAGGATGGGAGATCTCTCTCTCCATCTCTCCCTCGCTCTCTTTCTGTAACTCTGCCTTTCAAATAAATAAATGAATCTTAAAAACAAACAAACAAACAACAATACCAACACACTCTTTATTGGTTTAAGGCTCAGATCTTGGGGAGCAGTGGTATAGAGGAACTTTGGGACATGTCATTCTGGAACAATCCATCGAACTGGGTATTTCTGATTGGTCCACTGTTTTCATACGTAATATTTGACCAACTTTTATATAAAGTTTTATTTCTTTGAAAAGCAGAATGACAGGGTGGTATCTTGCATGTGCTGGTTCATTCTCCAAATGCCTGCAATAGCCGGAGCTGGGCCAGGCCAAGCCAGGAGCCAGGAGCTCCATCCAGGACTCCCACGTGGGTGGCAGGGGCCCAAGCACTTGAGCCATCACCTGCTGCCTCCCAGGTGTGCATTAGCAGAAGTTGGATCCAAAGTGGGGCAGGAACTAGAACCTGGCACTCTGATGTGGGGTGTGGGCTTCCTAAGCTGTGCCTTAATCACTACGCCTGCTCCAATAGTTGACTAACTTTTGAAAAAACTGCTAAGTTTCTGCCTGTTCCTGCTTCCTCATTCATTTCAAATTTTATGACCAAAGAGAACTTGGCCTCTTCCCTTGCCCGCTGCTGCTCATCCCGTCATCCTTCCTGGCCTCCATAGCAGCAGCCTGCACTGGGCATTCAGCTCTTCAGTAACAGCCTGGGTCCACCTGGCTCTAGCCCCTTTCCCCATTGTGTAGAGCCTGTTGTTTCAACCTCCGAAACAGGTGCATGAGGGTGCTCTTTTTAAAAAAAGATTTATTCCTTTGAAAGGCAGAGTGACAGAGAGGGGAAGGGAGGAAGGGAAGGAGAGAGAGAGAGAGAGAGAGAGAGAGAGAGAGAGAGAGAGAAAGGGAAAGGAGAAAGAGAGGGAGAGAGATCTTCCATCTGCTAGTTCATTCCCCAGATGGCCACAGACAGCTGGGGTTGGGCCAGGCCAAAGCCAGGAGCCTGGAACTCTATTCAGATCTCTCTGTGGGAGGCGAGAACCCAGGTGGGTGGGCTGGCACCTGCTGTCTTCATAGGCACATTCACAGCAGTTTGGGTTAGAAGCAAACCAGCACTTTGATATGGGATCCGGGCTTCTGAGCAGTGGCTCCACCCCATCATCCCATCCACCTGCCACAGCACCTGTTTGGGGGTGGGGCGCTTTGTCCCTTTTGGTCACTACGCTATCCTCATTGCTCAAGTCAGCACCTGACAGGTTATAAACATTCACAGATGAATGAGCTAATGATGGTGTCCACTGTTGAACAGCAGACACTAACGCGCTAGGTTGCTGTTGAGTAAATAGAAGATCACTAAGAGAAATTCACCAGGGGTCAGTGTTGCGGTGCAGTGGACCGCACTGCTGCTTGGGATGTCTGCGCCCACAAGGGAGTGGCAGCTTGAGTGCGGGCTGCTCTTCTTCCGATGCAGCTTCCTGCTGATGTGCCCGGGAAGGCGGTGAATGATGGCCAAGTACACGGCTTCTTACTACCCAGGTGGGAGAGCTAGATGGAGCTAGGAAGATCTAGAAGCTCCTGGCTTCTGTCTGGGTCAGCTCTGGCTGTTATGGCCATTTAGGGAGTGGAACCAGTGGATGGAAGATCTCTCTCTCTCTCTCTCTCTGTGTGTGTGTGCGTGTGAATGCCTCTCTCTTGGTCTTTCTCCCTTTCAACTAAATAAATAAATCCTTGGTGAAAAAAAGAAGAAATTAACCAAATTCATTCAATCAACAAAGATCTACCCTCATCAGCAGTACCGAAGAAAGCTGACATGCTTTCTGACCAGCTAAAGCTCAGTCCACTGATGAAACTGTCCAAGAGATGTGTCTTTACAAACAGTACTGCTGGCGAGAAGCATCGAGAACACTGCGAGTGTGGCTCGGTAGGGGAGAGCTGGGAAGGCTTCTCCGAGGTGGTGGCTTCAGAGCGGACAGCAGAAGCAGGGAATAGTGCCAGGCGGGGGAGTGGGCAGGAAGTTCAGGCAGAAGAAACTGGATGCAAAGGCCTTGAGCCCCTGGGTGGGGACTACTCCTTTGCTCCTGTCCGTTGCCAGGGTCCTAGTGCCACCCATATCAGGTCTCTAGTTCCCTCACTCCTGAACTTCATCTTGGGTAGGATATTGGGGGTGCTTTTGCTTCCTTTCTAATGCAGAGGGGACGTAGTGCAGACTCACCATTCTGGCGGGATCTGGGAACCACAGTTTATGCTGCGTGTCGCTGGGTTTCTGCTCCATCCCTGCTTGTTTTCTTCTCTTTCCGGTTCTTCCACACTGGCTGGTCATTACAATTTCGAGCTCCCCCTGGGTGAAGTGGACGATTTCCTGGAAAACAGCTGTGCGAGGCGCCCCCACCCGTTCCCCACGCGTCTCGGAAATAAACATTCCCTCTGCAGAAGAGTCTCCCCGTGTCTTCCCGCTCAGCATCTCCCTTCCATTTGACATGCCTGCTTTGCACGGCTCTGCAGGAGCAATCTAGAACAGGAGTAAAGGAACCAGCAAAGTGCGGATGGTACTTTATGTATTCACACGTTCTGGGACCGGAGGCTTGGGGTGCTAGTGTGTCCCCCCCTCCCCGTCGATCCACATCTAACAAATGGCAGGTGTCATGTCTGACTCGAGAGCCCATGCTTTAACCATTGGGCCACAAGGACTTCCCTTAACTTCAGAGTCCCCTGCTGCCTGCTACTGTGTGAAGACACTGAGCCCCATTCTTTTTTTTTTTTTTTTTTACAGGCAGAGTTCCTGGTCTCCCATGCGGGTGCAGGGCCATCCTCCACTGCACTCCCTGGCCACAGCAGAGAGCTGGCCTGGAAGAGGGGCACCCAGGCAACCAGGACAGAATCCGGCGCCCCGACCGGGACTAGAACCCCGTGTGCCGGCGCCGAAGGCAGAGGATTAGCCTATTGAGTCCAGGACAGGTAAAGGGCCGATGATCAGTTCTAGAGCGACATAGGGTGACAAGGTACTCTCTGCTGGCATGGGGCGATGTCTCAAGCTGCTGTCTCCTGGGTGGGGAACTGAGTATATCTTTAAAAAAGAAAAAAGTGTAGTGCTGAATATTGAGTAACCCATCGTTGGGGAAGGGAGAACCAAGAAAGAAATAGAGGGGGTGGGAAGAAGAGAGAGGAGAGGGAAGCGAGAGAGGAACTAACGCAGTCCCCTGTGTCTAGGAAGCAAGAGGGTTTCTCAAGAACTTAGAGAAATAAGCCAGAGGCAGAGACGAAAGTGGGGCATTCTCAGTCCTGCGTGGAGGCTAAAAGACTTGATTTCCTAGAAGAAGAGTTGAACAGTGGTTTCCAGAGACTGCAGGGGACAGGGGGAGAGGGACAGAGGCGGGCTGTTTATCAGGTGTGAGAAAGCTCTTGGATGGGAGCCCTGAGTCCTACTGCTTCGTAGCACGGTAGGGGGACGGCAGCGGACAACAGTTTATCACATCTTTCAGAAGAGCCGGGAGAAAAGTTCTTGAACTTTTGCAACAGTGTTGCGGGTGACAGATATGCTAATTATCCTTATTTGATCCTCACACATTGCATCCAAGTATCAAACATCACAATGCACTCCACACAGAAGAACAATTAGCACCTGCCAATTAAAAATTAAAATAATAAAAAGAGAACTTCCTGCTGGAATGGCTGAGCTGCAAGTGTGGTTTCCGTCGTGCACCACTCTGGCAAGGAGTGCCTGCCCCAGCCTCCAGGATTCGATGATCGGCCTTGGCTACGTGAGGACGGGGGTCTTACCTGAGCCCCACCGGGCGGTTCCTAAGGAGGCGGCAGGGATGGGTAATTCTCACAGGCTGTAACCCAAAGTCCGGAAGTGGGGCTGGGCTCCTCTGCTGGAACCCATTCTACCTTGACCGTGCTCACTTCCCGGATGGACATGGGCTGGGAACTCCATTAGGTCTCCGTTCTTCCCTCCCCTCCCCACCCCTCCCCTTCTCCATGGGGGCGCTCATCCTCACGCACAGGGTGCCTAGTGCAGTGTCGGGCACACAGCAGGTGCCCAGCAAGTAAGTGTGGGATCAAGAGGCGAAAGGCAAAGAGGAAACGCATCCCTGGTGCCCACCGTTGCTCTTGTCATGTGAGCCGACCTCTGAGCCTGCGGGAACCCGCCTTCCCTCTTCTGGGCTTCCTGAGGGGGTCCCACAGTCAATGCCTGCTTCCCCGTCCAAGCTCTCTGACAGCTGGGAAATGAGACTGAAGAATAAGCCGGCGTGTCCGCTCTCCCGCTAAGAAGCACACGCATCTACAGGCCACTGGGCTTCCCATTCAGAAGCAGAATTGCACGCACCCTCTCCATCCAGCACACAGGCTGCAAGCACACCTCCCTCCACCTGAGGACAAGGAACCGCGACAGCTTGGCCCTTGTCTTCCTCCCAGATCTACAGGCCAGGCCGATCCTCCTGCTGTCCCAGGGTGGAGCCAGGCCAGGGGCAGGGCAGCCAGGGGTTTGGGTGCCGGGCCCTCTCCTTGGGGGAGAGGACACCTGCCCTCCCAGCTGCTCAGCCAGCCTCACCTAGGCCCAGGGACTTGCCAGGGGGCTTCGTTCTACCCTGGGTCATGTCCGCTCTCTTTGCCGCTGTCTGCTGATTACTTTTTCACAGCTTGTGACCAGAGACATTTCCATCACCCGAGACACCTCATCCAAATGCCTGGTTTTGGAAAGTGGGGATTTTGCCAGGAGACTGTGCAAGTTTTCTTAAAAGAGGAAAGTTAAAAGTAATAGTATAATAATTACCATTGGCAGTTCACCTGGTGCCTGGGACGGAATTGACAGACAGGCCGGGAGAACCGTGGTTAACTGTGGCATCTGACACCCTGAGCTTGAACTTGTGCTGTTCCCAGCTACCTGTGGAAACCACTACTTCATCCACAGTAAGAGAAGGGAGGTGACTACATCCATTCTGTAGGCTCTCTGGGGAAGATGTATTATGATAATGCACTCAAACCCACACAGTGGTGTCTGGCACATGGTAAGCTCTTAGTAAGTAAGTGTCAGGTAAAAGACTGTAGTTCTTATGTATCTACCTATTTCTGTATCTCTGTCTATGTCTACATTTGAAAAGCAGAGTAGCAGAGAGAGAGAGGAAGGGATAGAGAAAGAGACAGAGGAGGAGAAAAAGAAAGAGAAAGAGAAATCTCCCATCCATCGATTCACTCCCCATATGGCTTCAACAGCTAGGTCTGGGCCAGGCTCAAGCCAGGAGCCAGGAACTCCATCTGGGTGTCCCATGTGGCTAGCAGGGGCACAGGCACTTGGGCCATCTTCCATTGCCTTCCCAGGTGCATTGGCAGGGAGCTGGATGAGAGGCAGAGCGGCCAGGACTCCAGCCAGTGCTTGGATATCGGGTCCTGTTGTTGCAAGGTGGATCTTAACCAGCAGCGCCCCAATGCCAGCCCCAAAGACAATTGTGCTTATTAACATTTTGGTCATTGACCCTTCTTCCGTCACTGTGAAATAAGGATTAGGGTTTTTGGATCCTCCTCTGGCTGTGTAGTCACTGATGTGCCGGAGAAAGAGGCCTGGGAGAAGTGTCTGAGGATACAAGGGTGGTCGGCGCTGTGGCATAGTGGGTAAAGCTACCGCCTGCAGTGCCTGCATCCCATATGGGCGCCAGTTCAAGTCCTGGCTGCTCCACTTCTGGTCCAGCTCTCTGCTATGGCCTTGGAAAGCAGTGGAAGACGGTCCAAGTCCTTCTGCCCCTGCACCTGCATGGGAGACACAGAAGAAGCTCCTGGCTCCTGGCTTTGGATAGGCCCAGCTCCGGTTGTTGTGGTCATCTGGGGAGTGAACCAGCAGATGGAAGACCTCTCTCTCTCTCTCTCTCTCTCTCTCTCTCTCTCTCTCTCCTCTCTCTACCCCTGCCCCTGCCTCTCTGTAACTCTGCCTTTCAGATAAATAAAGACATCTTTATGAAACAAATCTAAGTTCTGGAACTTTCCAGCTATGTGGTAATTGGCAAAGTCACTAAGCTTGTTTGTGTCTCAGTTTTCTCGTCAGTGACAGGTGACAAGAGCAGTGGGGAGTTCAGTCTGACCCTGGAAGGTAGGATTCTTCCTCCCTGGAGCGTTTTTCCTCCTCCATTCCCTGATCCAGTTCCTTCCTGAGCTGCCTCTCAGGGCCTCCCTCCCGCTGCCACTTGCCCGCATTTTTTACTGAGCAGTTTTCTAAGTGCCAGACCCAGTTCTGGGGTCAGACAGTGAACAAGCAAAGCACGGCCCCAGGCTTTCAGAACTGGGAGCAAAAACATCATGGCGCCCTCCTACCGTATTGTCCTCCACGGTGACCACTCCCCAGTCAGATCTGCTCTGAGTTGTGGCTTCTCTCTCTCTCTCTCTCTCTCTCTCTCTCTCTCATCTATTTTCTATCTATTTATCTATCATCTCACTGCCAATTATCTGTCTATCTATCTATTATCTGTCTGTCTGTCTGTCTGTCTATCTATCTATCTATCTATCCTCTCGCTGGATCAGGAGCCTTGTAAACCTCCTGGAACACAGAGAATTTCTCCAGGAAACAGTCCTCCCAGCCCCAGGCCTCCTCTCTCCTCTTCACCCCAGAGTGAGGTTACTCAGAGCCCCCTTGTGCCCCCCACTCTGTTGTAGGAGCACCAAAGTTCTCTCCTGCCATCTACTAAGAGGCGGGAGTCACAGAGAGGCGGCACCGCAGGCAGACAACAAAATGAGACCAGAGCAAGCAGAAGGGGTGGGTCACTTCCTTTCTCCGTGGTCCTGCGTGCGCTGGCCCTGGTGAGTTTCTCAACAAGAGGCGGGGCCGGGAGAGCTGAGCTGCTCACAGCTGTGTCCTCACGCTGCCCCTTAGCTCCCAGCTGGCCGGGGGCAAGGAGCCAACAACTTGAGGGCCTCAGTTGCCTTGTGTGTAAAATGGGATGATGGTGTTTCCCTCCTGAGATCATCATGAGCGTTAATGGAGATAATATATGAGAAGTATTTACTGTCCTGCCAGGGGCATACTTGCTCATAAATATTAGCTAGCATGACTGGCACAGGAAAAAGAGCAGTGTGATTTGATAAAACTGCACGACTAATAGGATACATGGAATGTATGATCCTTCCCTCTTCTCTCCACGTCACCCTTGCCCCCCAAATGACTGTTATCATTTTTTTTAAAGATTTATTTATTTTATCTGAAAGCCAGAATTAGAGGGAGAGAGGGATTTTCCATTTGTTGGCTCACTCCCCAAATGGCTGCAATGGCCAAGGCTTGGCCAAGCCAAGGCCAGGATCCAGAAGCTTCATCTGGGTCTCCCGTGCGGGTGCAGGGGCTTAAGTGCTTGGGCCATCTTCTGCTCTTTCCCAGGTGCATTAGTGGGGAGCTGGATCTGAAGTGAAGCAGCCGGGACTCGCACGGGCGCCCTAACGATGCTGACACTACAGATGGCGGCTTAACCCCCTGAGCCAGAGCACCGCCTCTCCTGTGATCTTTTTATTTTTTATTATTATTTATTTTTTATTTAATAAATGTGAATTTACAAAGTGCAACTTTTGTATTGTTGTGGCTTCCCCCCCCAACCTCCCTCCCTCCCGCGGCCCTCCCCTCCCCCACTC